GTTTGTCATTCTAACTGCTCGACAACAACAGGGTCGTCACAACAAACTGACTCAAAAGTTCTTGGGATTAGTTGTTGGTCAACTGATTCTTATTCACATCAAATGAATCGAAGACAAACCGAATTTCATGAAATGCCTCAATGTATGCATAATATTTATGATTTAAGTAATAATAAGGATAATAATAATAATATCAACAATAATAATGATTTGTTAGTGTTTGTGGATAATTATATCGCAACTGCAGAGAATGACATGATCGGAGATCCATCAGATTCTTCAAATGACCGAATCAATCGAGATTTAGATCTACTCACACGTAAAGTAACGGAACATGCTATTGGAGGTATGAATTTCTCTTATATATTTTTTTGTAATGCTTTTTACAATCTCGTTCTAGATTATGATTAATTACCTTTTAAAATGTATCGTTTATTTTGTTAGTTTAAAAGACCAGAATTAAAATTAGTGCCAAACTGATAATATAGTATCTCTATGAAATCATTGATGAAATACCGTTGGATAGATAATCCATTTTTGAATCACACTCACTGAATATTATCTCTCATAGCTAAATACATCTATTGCTGATAATTGTCAACCAATTTCGTTTAGACATGAAGTTCGCTAGTTTTTTTTATTCGTTCATTTCATAAAGAAAAACGTTTCGAGTAACTGTTAATCAGTTATTACTTACACTTGTTGCCTCTCGTGAAAAAGTATAGCATGCCCACCAGCATTCTCCATCTAACTCTACCCTGGACATTCCTTTCCAGTTGCTATTCATCCTTTTCATGTATGCTTCCAATACCCGATGCAGTGTATTCTCTGGCCCTCCTCTTTTCCGTTTTCCTTCAAGATTCCAAGTTAGCGCTTACCTCGTGATGCAGTTTGGTGATTTCCGTAATGTATATCCTACCCACTTCCATTGTCTTTTGCTAATTTCCCCCTCAGCTGGAAGCTGGTTTGTTCTTTTCCACAGTAGGCTGTTACTGTTTATTGGTTAATTAAATCGATAAATTATCGGATAAATAGTAATCCTAACGATTTTATTATATTTAAAGGAATAACTTACTGTTAAAATATTCTATCCAATATATTTGAAATGTTGAAATTTGCATTAGATCTACAATTTAAAATTATTTGGTGTAAATTTGCAGCTGAATAAGCATGTATGTACTTGACTTTGATCTACTGTTTTATGTGGGTGTTGGTGATGCTATCTGGATGTCAGAACCTATATGTGGTTTAGACTGTTGACATAGCAGTAAAAGATTAATGTATCACCTCATGATGTTGCGATTGTGTTTATCAATCATATCGTAGTAAATATAATTAGGCTTTAAGTTTTTTCAAATTCATTAAATTAACGGTTTGTGATATCTGCCCAAAAGTCATTATGGCTTACCCTTACAACTCATTTTTGTTGATAGATGTTCTGAAACTTATACTGACAACTTATCGTCACATTGTAAGCTTCTATCCAACTTATTGCTGCACCACACAGTACTGTATGCCAAGTAGTACTTGGTGGTGGCTAAGCGTACGTAACACGTGTCTCAGTCAGATCAACTGGTAAATGTGTATAGCCCCTTCAGTTGGATTGCTATTCCTATCTAGCCACTTATGTTTAGGCTCTTCATTGCTTACTCGGGTGTTCTGCTGTTATGATTTCTTTTATTACAACCTAGCTATTCCTATTGCTTAGTATTCCTGGACGCCAATTCACTCAACGAGTCCCCAGAATATGGTTGAACAGGAACGAAATTTTATTTTTAAATAATAAGGGTAGATAAAAGTAAGAAGCACAATAAAAAAGATTTTAGTATGTTTATAGTTTTTACATGAGGAGATTCTAAAGTCTTCTCTAAGTATCGACTAGCTCTGATTCGATAAGTAGTTCACGTTTCTCAGCTACAAAGTATACTTGTGTACTTGCGTTTTGATAGGCAAACTTTAGTGCTATGTTGAACCCACATAGCTTATTATAGCTTCCGGATATGTCAATCTATTCATTCATCTTGAGTCACGTGTTGACTTTATTATTTATCCGCTTATAAACCTTAACTGTTTTTATGTAAGCGTATGTGTGCACTTCTTATCCTATTCATCACATGTCCGTAACTTATTTTTGTGTGACTATAAATATCGACTAACTTCTGATTAAACAGATTTGGCTTACACACCTCCACTGCGCGTCATTTCGCTTTGTTTCGTTCCTCTGATTGTCTTTCCAGATCAATGAGTGTACAAAATATATGTATTCAAAAATCCATTCTCGTATTTGACTTATATAATTCTGTTATTCACTGACACGATTTAAGTCAATAGTTTTATACGACAATTGGCGACGTGTATATTATGACAGTAATCATTTCAATAACAATCGGAAACGACCTAACTTGATTCATATCTACGGACACTAAAGTGATGAACCTGTCGACAACATCATCGTCCTATCTAGTTGGCGCCAAAATAATTAGCCACAAAAAACATTTATTTAAAGAGAGAGAAACCTAATTTGAACACCATTGCGTTGTTGCGAAAGAAATTCGGGAGACCGGATTTTTTGATCCGTTCTCGAAATAGAATTTATTATCTGCTTACTATAAGTCAATAGTTGGGCTTCTAGGCAGGAAAATGATCCCTGGATTTTTAGGTGTTAAAAAAGCGACTTATTTCGGTATCTGCTGAACAAAAAAACCAAACCAGAGGAACTGTACAGAGATGAAGGACACCGTTTAAAGTTGCCAGTTTAAAATAAGCTTTGTCTCGACCAATAATATTCGAGCTGAACATCTTATGTTGTCTATTCCCCGCTATTACGGTTTTCGATAATGGACACTACAATGAAACTAATGATTGCAGCCCCCAGGTCAAGGAATACGATCACAATTAAGCGTCTGTACGTTCATGTTTCGAAACCTAACATGGGTTGAACATTTGACTACTTAATCCACAACCCTGTTTCTGATTTCAATACACGGAAGTCGTCACGACAAACCATTGTGCTTACTAAATCAAGGCAGTAACCACGATTGCCCTGTATTCACAATTAGAATCGAGTGTTAGCAGTTTGTGTTTTCACCATACAATATCACTTATATAGTCTTTATTGTTCTGTTTATTTTTGATTGATTATATTTTCCTTCTTCTTCGTTTAGGTTTCGATTCTATGACAGATTAATTAAAGTTGTTCTTCTGGACATTAGATAAATACTTACGTTTTCATCTAGGTTCAGTTGGTACCACTTACTATATAATCAATTATCCATTTTTTTAATCCACTTTCCATCCTTGTCAGTTTATGTTTCAAATCTGTTGTTGAGTTGAATTATAATAATTATTTTCTTTTTATCTGTCTTTACAATGATATCAATTTCCTTCTGTTATTCATTGTTGTAACCTAGTACTACTTGTGATCTTTTATGATATTCAAGAGCCTAACTTATCATGATTTTATTTCTTCAATTATTATTATGTCTATTGTCACTGTTATTCTTATCACTTTATAATAAGTCGTCCCAGGAGTTAACAAAATGCGCTTGTCAACCTTTTTAATTTATCATTATCGCTTGTGAATGTGCAATTTTAGTCAATGATTTTGTCGGCTGGTATCGACATTTATTATGAATTATTTATGTTTCTAACTTTAGATATTCTGCACTGTGTGTGTCCCTTAAATGGTTTGGAATGTTACTTGTTTTAATTTGTGAAGGCGGGTCCTTTAAAATCTAACTCTTGTCCCTTTCCTCTACCCAACGTTTGCGTGAATTTATATATGCATTTGTATGCCGAAAAAAATACAGACATACAAGTGTATTTGGCTTCTCAAAGTTTCTTTCTGGCTATTATTTTTGCGTTCGTTAGTGCTTGAGGCAGATAGCACATTCAGAGACAACATCAACAGTATTAACACTGGTAGATAACAGGATCTTTTAAGTGATGTTCAAGGGATACATCATCAGCAACCTAATTTCACAGAGGGCTAACCTTAAATACCTGTCAATTACTAGTTCTCGCCATGCACGTCCGTTGAATGTTTAAAAAACGAGTGGTGATTTCCAAATCAGAAAGGGGTTTGTGGAGATTTCAGTAATTTTGTAGTTTAAATCATGAATCAATTGAAGCTAGATCACCATGGAAAACCTGGCAGCACTGGACGGCCGTTTCGTCCTATTGCGGGAATCCTCACCAGTTCGCATCCACTATCCCGCCTCGCGAGATTCCTACCCAGGACCTATTAGTCTCGCGTCAGAGCGCTTAACCACTAGACCACTGAACCGGCATCCAATGGTGTTAATGTCTAACTTCAACCAATCCATGAAGTTGAGCAACCGTTCACCAATAGTCTTCAGTGGATTGCTATCTGACAACAGACCTGATTGAACTCCATTGATTACTGCTTCTCACTCGAACTCCAGGAAACATCTCTTGAAGTCAGTCACCAGTGAGCATATGATTATTATCAGGATGGTCTTTTATGGAGATTTCAGTAATCTTATAGTAGCCGCTGAATGCCGTCCCTATGGTTAGGCTCTAGCACGCGAAGCGGGATATTGGATGCACACTGCCGAGGAGTCCCACAATAGGACAAATCGGCCGTCCATGGTGATCCAGCTTCAGTTGACTCATGATTTCCGAATCCCTTAGCAGGTCTACAATTTTCACCAATGTATTAGTCGTTCAAAATTCTTTTTTTGGCCGTTTACAGATTAGCGGACTAGGATACTGAACAACAACTCTAAGTGCCAGCAAACAATTAAGCTAAGCAGTCAAATAACATTAGTACTCTGTCTACTTGCTCAGAAAACATGCGTCTCATTGAACACCGTCCGGTGTGGCCTAAGAAAACTGTCTGCTGCGGTCTGGTCACCAGTATCCCAGCCCCCACGCAAGTCGGGTGATTATCTGGCGCATATCTATACGGCCACTTATTATGCTAATGTTTGTGTGTTTAAATAAATATCACCGCTTAATAAGGCGTGATCTTACTTGGAATGGTCAGACTTTCTACACAATCCAGGTAACTATTCACAAAACTTTTCAGACGTTGACAAATTCTCTATTTTAACGGGTCTTATGGTATCAGATAGCTGGTCACAAAACAACCATGCTCATTTCTCGCTTAATGACAGTCGAATGGATGAGAGGGGCATTTCATCCAGGTACTCAAGTGTGCGCTCTTTAATTCAAAGAGGAAGTGAAACCATAAAGAATAAGAATCGGCAAATAACCTTCTGTTAAATTGAAAACAATGTAGTCAGAATTCAAAGTTATTTACTACCTTGCGTCGACACTACGTATCATTTTCCCTACATGGAATAGCGTGACACGCTCCTGAGGAAACTTCACAACTGCATTTCATTCTTCATCAAATGTGCGAAAACAAACATTTCGCTTAAGTACAGCTTTTGTATGTCAACTGTTCTTCGTAAGTGTCCAAGCACCTGGCAATAGTATTTTACATGTATTCCAGATTCCTTGATATTAACACTTTAACGTTTCGTAGATTCTTGACAAACAAGAGTCTCAGAAGTGTTTCCTACCCTTCAGCAGCTAATGGGCTTCCTTGCAGATTCATGGGGAGCGATGTGATAGCTTACGTATTCATCATGGGATGAACAATAATATCACTGGCCAAGATATCTTAAACTTATTCCGTTCGTTTCCGGCTGATCCATCCACAGTAGCCGACCAATTTGCTGGGATGGCACAGTCTCTGTTTTCCGGAATTATAGTTTGCTAGAAACTGAGGCAGGATGAGGCTGATATGAGCTTTACATTATGAGAGTAACTACCGAAGTATAGACTACATGATCACGGTTCGCTAGTGAGGCAGATATAGAATGTAGGTGATATCGTCTCAAAGATGTGTATAAAGGAGGTCCAGCAGTGGAGATTCATATTCCAAGTCAATGCGTGTAGGTTTTGTGATACTTAATTCGAGTGTTAATAAAATAATATTTGCTGTCAGGATATTTACCTGAAGTTGAGAGCTCTATATAGTTAATATGTAGCGCCTTGAAATTTTCCAAGTTGAGACGATGATCAACTTTGCCCTTAAAACAGATGCGACATGCGAAAAATTCGTCAGCAAAACAGCGTGGGTGGGTGTATTACTCATATACTCACTAGTCCTTATCTAGATTTAACTGTACAACAAGCTACCCCACATGTACCGCCATCACTCACCTCTGTTGATCTAATGCACAGAAACCAACTTTAACACATAAAAACATGCCCCCTCTCTTACGATCTATAATTTTATCAATTTCTGTATCCTACAATTCATGTGAAGAGCCTCATCTTAGTGACTACGATTATACAGGGACGAAATTCACCTATCGCCAACAAGCCTTTGTGTATTCAACATTTGGGGTGTTTGAGGATCACTAGTTTCATCTACACGGGTCTTGGAAGAAGTGGCTATAATACCTAGTCCATGATATTTATTTTGCAGACAACGAGAATTTTTATTTAAAAACTCTTAATGAGATCGATTTATTCATACATGCATTGGAAGCATTTACTTCCAGGACCTGACTACTCAGAAATCCAAAATACGGAGATTCCATTCATTTTTTTGTCGACGAGTTTCTAGTTCAGCTAGTCCCACCTTTCTTTTGAAGCTATTATCTAAAGACACGTGGGGTCTCACTAGAATGTTAGTATTATCGTGACTTCGGGCACTAGTTAACGTAAAATGTCGTTGTTCCTCGGACCCTCGGATTACCTTAAAGGGTATATACGGTCGGAGTCCAACATTTTGGCTGGTCCTGTTACCTATTTTTATCAATTATTTGACTTATTCTCCTTTAGAGTTAGCTGGTGAGATCTTATGAATAAAGGGTTCGAACTTTCCAAATTTATGTGCGTGTTTAAGTTTTTTAATCTGGTTCCTTTTTTTCTAGTAAATTACTCACAATAATACTCGATGAGAAATGGATTTTTCCAACCAATCTAGAAAAAGTCTAGTCTTACTTCGGGACATTGGTAGTGTATTCTGTGACACAGAATAAGAGTTTACCAAGACTTATCAACCAAACAAATTGTGTTTGGGACTTCTTTTCTTCCTATTGTTTGTTTTCGCACGACCGTTTATTTCCGATCACTGAGAATAGCCACATCATTACCAATTGGAACGGTGGTGGTTTTATCTGGGTCTTCAAGTATCACTTTAGAATCATCACCTTCAATACTCTGTTGTATTTCACTGTTTGTTTGTCCCACGGAAGATTTTCCTTTTCCATGATTCCTAGTCAAGTGTTTGGCTCGTCCTGTAACAGCACGTACTATACTGACACATTATTCGCTGTCAGTACTCGTTTTACCAGTGTAGCCAACGTCAACATTCTTGCAGGCCAAATCCAGAAGGCTCATCGCCTGCTCAATAAGTAATGTCTTACTCGAACAGCAAATATACAAAGCCAATGCAATCAAAGCTTAGCTGGCTAAGCTTTGATCATCTTTTGTATGGAGTGGGACTTTAACTGGTATACATCTTGCGGGACCAGTTTTTACACATCACATTGCATTCCTTTGTCCACAGGGAAGAAAGAATTTTGCTGTCCTTATTTATAGGTGCAGCCTACCATTGTAAACGGATTAAAAGAGTAAAACAGTCGACAAAAACAATATAATCACTAGTGTGATGATGAATGAAAAATGAAAACAAGACGTAAACGCCACTTTTTTGTTTGATAAATATAATTCCGTTCATACCTCGAGGTACTGTTGATCCGCTCTCACTAGATGTGTAATATCCTGGAGTGAAAGTCTTTCTATTCTGTTCACGATCATTTGAAACCATGATAAACTATTTGTTGTGATTTTTCCTCAAGGTTTTGCGGGTCAGATAAACTCATCCTTTTTTGGGGTTAGTTGTTGATTTTAGTTAATTCTCACCAAGTGTGATATTTCTTACTTATTCTCACTAAACTCACTAATTGCGAATGATTTGGGAAATTCGTCTCATCGTTTGTCTGTTTATGCTGTGATACAGTGCTACCGTACACTAAGGATCGTCACCTTTCCGGTTTCATGACAATATATGGCTGTTTATTGATTTGGACTCTTATGTAGTAAAGTAAACCGATCGATAAAGTTTTTTAGAGTAATTATTTTAGGCCTTGAGTTCGTATAGTCGCTAAAGTGGCTTTTTGCCACGCAGCAGCCTACTATTATTATAGCGCACACTTTGTTTGGATATAACACCAACGTTTATCTGTAATCTAATACCTCATAAGCTTATAGCTCAACAAACGTATCGCTTCATAATAGTTTTATAGTCATTTTATGTCGGAATGGTTCTTGGAGCACTGGTGATCCTTTGTAGAAAATATTTTTCAAATGGTGATGCTTCGTTCCATACTGTTTCAGTTTCAGTTTGGAAAGGACAGGAGGCTTGATGGCCTGTGTTAGTCCTGGCAATGATGGTCTCTCAGCTGATCCAACTTTCTTTTGAAGGAGTCGACGGATGGAGCCTCAACCACGTGCTGAGGTAATGAATTCCACTTGTTGATTATTCGATGGGAAAGTCGGTAGTCAGCTGACAAGTAATTCGTTCTGGGCTTGTGAACTTTTTAAGAGTGTCCTCGTAGATTTTCTGTTTTGGAAGACAAGAAAAATGAGGGCATATCAGGTGCAAATTTGTCATTAAGCAATATGAAAACTGTAATCAAGTCGCCTCTGATTCTTCTATATGACAGCGGGAATAGGTTTAGCTTGGTCAGTCTAGTACCGTACGGGAGCTTCGCTATTCCGGGAATCAGCCTAGTTGCTGTTCTCTGAACCCTTTCCAATAGTTCACTGTCTTTTTTTAGGCAGGGGTTAGCTGCTTGTATACAGTACTCAAGTTTAGGGCGTACGAACACTGTATACAAAGTCAGAAACGTTTTAGCGTCGAGATGCCTAAAAGCCCTGCGTATGGACCATAAAGTCCTAAAACCTTTGGCGGCTATTGCACGGCAGTGTGCAGTAGTCTTTAAGTCTTGACTGACGATGACGCCTAAGTCGTTGTGTGCCTGAACAATAGGTAACTCAGTGTTATTCATCGTGTATGTATCTGTACCCTGGTGGCCAATATGCATCGCAATACACTTGGAAGTGTTTATCGGCAATTGCCAGGTTTGGGACCATTCACATAATCTCTGCAGGTCATTTTGGAGTTCTAAGCTATCGCCCTTACTTTGTATCGCTCTCCATATCTTAACATCAGCATAGAGTAAGACCGATGACGATAGTAGACGATGGAGATCATTTACGTACAGGAGGTGGGGAGTTTCTCGGTCTCTTAGGTGTAGTCCAAGGGATGTGGGGGGCGGTAACTTTTAAGTATAAATTCCGGAATATGTCCCAAGCCGTTTCGATTGATGACTCTGGGTCTAATTTCCAATCTACTAATGATGCTGATTTCATGATGTCTGGTATGTTTGCTTTCCAGACGTTAGGTCTAGATTGAGCTGAAGCGTACTCGTGATCGACAGTTATATGGAAATCAAAGCTTAAAACTGCATGATCACTTTTGCCTAGGGGTGGCATGTAATCCAGGTTTGCAACATCATCCTCATAATGAGTCAATATAAGATCTAGTAAGGATGATGCAGAACCCCTGCATTTCAGGCGGCAGCAAACTAATTCATACGTCCCACTCTCATGGGACACACTGTCGATAATGGTGAATGGAATAGCATTCCTAATGAATAGAGCTACTCCCCCTCCTTTACGCGTTTGTATTCTATCGGCCCTTACCAATGTAAAACCCTCGAAATCAAGTTCCCTACTATCTATAGACGGCGTCAGCCATGTTTCTGTGACTGCGATTATGTCTGGCCTAGTTGAGTCAATCTGTTCGCCTAGTTCCGGTAGCTTATTGAGTAAGCTCCGGGCGTTGGTATAACAGATCCGAAGCCTATTTAGGTGGCCTCGTGCTTCACCCAGAGTGGCTTCGGCATCATCCTCTGTCGAAGCCTCACAACCCGAAAATTTACAATTTTCAGGTCTTTTTCGTCAGCGTCTAATCTGAGCTGTAGTTCCTTTTCGGCTTCTCGTCTTTTAACACGGTCCGCCAACGGTAAGTCCTTACGGAGAAAAACTGAACCCTTTAATTTGTGTCCATTTTCTAAGATTAAGTCGCGTTCGTTTGGGGATTTGAAAACGACTTTGAGTAGTCTAGACTGATTTGGTTTCAGATGCGCTAGATTTCCTAGTCTATACACCTTTAGCAAGGTGACTCCGGGGATGTTTTTTGGCATAACTTGGTTGAGTAGTTGTTTTATCAACACAATGTCATGCTCAAAACGAGCTTTCGGTTCTAAGTTGTCACTGTCCTTGACTCTTTGGAGAATGACTGATCTGTCGCTGTGATCAGACCTCGGCTTGTCGACCCTTTTGGTGGGGGTATGATTTCCTTTTACGTCTTTTTGGCGTTTTTTTCTTACGACCCGTACCCAATCGCCAACGTTCTTTGGAGTGGTAACCACAGTCGCGTCAGGCGTACTGTGGGATTCCGGAAGGTTCAGGATGACTTGGGAGATTGGGTCATCTTTCGCGCTGGAAACCGATCGAGCCTTGCGGTTTCGGCTTACGGAAGTTCCCTTCTGGGTACCATTTTTGATACGAGGGACAGAATAGACTTTTTTGCGCGAGTTTCTGGTTGTAACAGTCCTCTTTGGAGGATGTTCTTCCTCCTTAGTAGAGTGTGGGTCGGCAGTTTTTGGACTCACTTGGGCCTGCCTTGTGTCAATCTGCGTGTCGACAGTTTGAGTTCTGACTGATGTATCCCGACCGCGCTTGCCGAGACACTTTTTTGCGGCATTTACTATTGAGATGGCTTCGGTTAACAGGCTATTTGCATCCAAACAGCACTGTTGACATAGCCATACGCACCCATTTTTACTGAACCGCTTGAAAGCTGCAGGTGTTAGATTCGTGCAAACATCGTGGTACCAACCTTTGCACTCATCGCACTGCATGCCGCTATCAACAGGATATCGACATCCTGGGCGGTGGCAAATGCTTTTGTTGCATCTTCCAGTCATTTTAGGATGCGAAGTTGAGTGTTGACTACAAGTAGAAAAAAAACCCATAAATAGTTAGGACCAAAGTACTAACAGACACAATAGAAAAACAAAGGTACTCTGGAGTACCGACGATAAAACTATTTAGGATATCAAAGATGATACTCTAATAGAATACTTTAACTGAAAGAAATTCAATCAAAGTATAAAACAGTAGTCTTGATACGTTAATAACGATTAAAACAATAGAATTTACTCAACGAGGAAAAATACCACTGTCCTTTTTAAATAGCGTGGGCTTAATCAAATCATATCTGTGTATTAAGTGTTGGACGTGTCCCCGTATGTCATTGTAGTCTTCATGTAATACGTGCACTGTTTTGAATCTTGCAATGTATACTATCGCAACCTTCATATTCTATATTGAGTCAGGAAAAAAGAGTAAACAAATGAATAGTTAGAAATATTCTCAAGGGAAAAGATGAAAAGTATAGATTTTAACAACATTGGTACAATTATGGACAATAATAAGATCAAACGGTATCAGTTGCGTGTAGATGATACCTAATATATTACTCTCTCCAAACGTGCGCACAGGTAATGTCTGGAAAGATAACAAGAGCTTCATGACTGGAATACTCAGTTCAGTAAACACAGTACTGCAGCCCCCGAGCTACAAGCGCTCCCCATCTCAAAATTACATAGTCTGTTCAAGTACTATTCAGTGGCTAGTAAGGGATTACATTTCGAAAGTATTCTAGTTCGGAGATACCTGCCACGAACTTCACTCGATTGGTTAAAGATAGAACTTATGGGCTTTTTGTTGTTTCTGGACTTTCTACAAGTGTTTTACCGGGGGGATATGTAAAACGTTTTTTGGAAAATCTGGCCTAGTCGAGTTTGTATTAGCCGTCATCAAATATCCTATTCTAACAAAATGTGTAGATATGTATCCTTAAATCTTCACTTATCTGCACGTTTTATTAGTTTACTCTTCCTCCAATAGTTTGTTCACTTCTGGATATTTTTACCGGATTTAACATCCCTAAATTATCTTCATTGCATTTCTCTGATGCTGTAAAAACAGCATAGAAGTATTACTTTTGGTAGGGCTTTTAGAAGAGTGATATTTGGCACATGGCTTTGCGATAGTGGTTCCTGAATCTCAGTAAATGTTATTGTTCACGCTCTCTGTATGGTCGGTTACCAGCCTTATTCATTTTTATAATCAAATTAATGTCAATTTTTTTTAGCGAAATTAACCGATAAATATTCTGCTTCTTCGAAATTATTCTACTGATATTCGGATTATTAAAGCAGGGGTCAATGGAGTTACCAGCAAAAAATCCCAAAAGACTATCACTTTAGTTAGGGGACTAGATTTATACAGTCCAAATACCATTCAGGTACGACTTCGTTCTTCATTAGCAACCTGGGGACTTAGTGACGTCATTATTCAGTTATAATCAACTTGAGACTTGATAAAAATGCGTGTCGGGTCAAATCGCTACACGTCCTCACGGTGGTATGAAATTTACAAAATGGGGAACAATGGAGTTGAGATAATAATAAACGCAATCGTGCGAAAAATGACAATGTAATTCAAAAATAGGGAGTGGGTTTGTTTAATAAAAACTATTGGGACTCAAAGGTTAGAGGGATATAATGAAACCATGTGTGGCACAGAGACCAATTTAGGCTCATTTCATCTATGGTTCACAACCAGTGGTCACTGTCGCATGGATCCCAACTAGTAAATCTCTTCCCAATATGGCTCGAAGCTCTTCTCACTTGTATGAAAAAAGTAGAAAATTACAACAGCCTTCATTGGCTTCTATTCTGAGTCACGTTCGATGAAGTCTCAAGCCACTGTATTGCACTGGCTGCTCTGGCTTTCATTATACGTGTTTTGATCTCATCACTCACGCAACCACTAGCATTTACAGATACACGAACATACCAAATACTTTTATTTGCTTACTACCAAAAGTGAGTCCAGATATAGGGTGTTGCCAATTTTGTACTTAGAGAGTGCAAAACATATACTATACTTAGACTCTGATTGCCAGCTGTTTAAGTGTGGATTGTATGGGTAAGACAATATCATCCACATATACAAAGTTGAAAAGTCTTTGTCCAGGCAACATATCCACACTTCCATTACCTACATCCATCAAAACTGTTTCAAAAACGTCGACGGCAAAGTTGAAGAGAAATGGTGAGATTGGGTAACCTTGTCGAGCCTCACTGCTTGAATGGGACAATGCAGAAAGGTTTTTGTATGCAACAAGGTTGTATACTCTGCCTGAGGTGTTTGCATATGAGGCCTTGAAGATGTGAATAAATTTTTCAAATACATGCTTCTGCGATCGACAATCCCAGAGAACAGTTCTGTCCAACGAGTCGAAGGCGTCCCTGATGTCAAGAAACACAACAGTTGTTGGCCTGCAATAAGTATGGAAGTGTTCTAATATTTGGTGGAGGGTAAAGACATGACCACTACATCCTCGATCGAAACAAAAACCAGTCAATCGTTCTCGGGTTTTGAACAAACTACGAAGCATGATGGAAGCCAATAGCTTGGACGCAATAGTAAATAGACTTAACCCCCGATAGTCGTTCCAGAAATGACGAATTCTTTTTAAAGATAGGGTCAACTATCGACTCATTCTATGATGTTAGAACACTCGGTAACTGCCAGACCTTTGTAAACAACTCAGTTAGTTCCTTGACCGAAAGGTTGCGACCAAGAGCTGGAAGTAAGTCATCTGGGTCTGGTGATTCGTGGCACTTCAAGAGTTGAATTTCCTTGCTGTCTCGTTAGGTGGGTCGGTTGTCACAGGTCATGCACGATAAGACAGTCTGATTGATGTTGTCAGGGCAACAGACCAGTTGGACTAATCCTCGAAAAACTCTGCCCACCATCGAAGATGTTGATAGATGTTAGTGATTGGCATCCCATCATCTTCACAGATTGTTTCACTTACACTCTCATGCGGTTAGAAATTATGAAGCTGTGCGATTTCTTAAATATAATGAAGTAACAGGATTTTTTGATAGGTCTTATTATTTTATTACTTGGTGTCGTTCATTGAAATGTTTAACTTATCAGATAATATGCGAGGATTTATTCAGCAATACTATTGATTTGTTCATACTCTAAGTCGTTTCTTTGATTTCTGTGATATAATTGTTGCATCCAAAATAGCCGTTTTATTTCTGGTATTCTCTTTTTAAATGTTAAGAACTAGTGAATATGTATTGTTATATTGTTTTTCGTAGTTAAATACCTCCATATAATGCACACGTCATCTGAGCAAAATATCTACATAGGAGAACAGGTGAATTCATTTACAGACCAAACCACCAGTCGGAGATTTAATCGTCCCGTAGACCAGCCTTTACAGTATAACAGTCTTACATCTCGTACAATGAACTTCAATAGAAGTAAGTCTGATCCAGCGTTTATTTGGATACGATAAATTTTCATCTGTTGCTGTGGTAATTCAATGATAAACTTCACTTATGAACTCGTTTCTTTCTGCTTACATTTTAGCATCGGTATTTTATCTACTGATAATGTTTTGAGATTTTCTCGTTGTTAATTATTTATTATTATTTAAACATAAATATTGGTACAAGGGGGAACCAGGTATATATACGCCACACCGTTGTCAGTTGTTATCATTTGATAAGAAATTCATAAACCAGAACCAGACACAACTTAGTCCAACTTCACTTATTTGGCTCAAGTTACTATTTTATGAATAATTTAACTGCTCCTTTACTACTTAAAATAAATTAGGTTGACAGGGTTTAAACCCTAACAGTTATTATCAGAGACTTTATGTTATAGTTTTCTGTGATTTGATTAAATGAAATGTCGACTGTTAAAATCTATGAGTAGAATGGTGATCGATAGATGAAATCAGTGATGTAACGTGACCAAGCGATGACAACTCAAAAGATCGTATAATTGACTTAGCCCCCCCCCCTGAATGATTAAAAATCAAAGGCAAGACCGCTAGTCAGATGAATAATTTTTCATGTAACAAAATAACCTACTTATGTACAAAATAAACATAAAAGATTCAAGAAAATTAGCCTGTAGGTTAATCATTCTGTAATCAATTAAGACCTGGCCGTTAAGCGTAAAGTCTGTCCTAATAACCTCTAGGTTTCTATGGGCCAACCATACAACACATTTTAGTCATGTGTTTCGGTATGAACTAGTAACATAAGTAATGCTATTACTCAATTCTTTTCAGAAACCTCAGCGTTACCTTTGTATTGACTTAAAAAGTAAACAGTCAAAGCTACTGAATTTGGGCAAAGTAAACAGATAAACATTTGTAGTGACTCCTAACCGTTTACTTTCTATCTCTGTCTACCCACTTATAGGTTTTGGTCGACTCCAGTCGATATCGATGAGAAATGGTACAGTATAGCTCTTTAACTAACCTTGTTTATGTTCATTGGCTTAACCGCGTTGGTAAATAACGAAATTAGTCAAACATGAGATTGTTTTGGATATATATAGATTTCATACGTTGTCTAATCCAGACAAATTGTAGGATATGTGAAACGGAGAGGGCACAACATGACTTCTCAAAATATTACTTGTAGGCGTTTAATATAGCTCAAAAATAGACAATAAACCATAAACACCAGGAAACGGACATTCGATAAGATAATAAATATTCACATGCACACAACCGTACATAAGATGCAAGTAAAGAATTGACAGTGTCACGAATATAAGAGGCACATATACTGAACTTCATAATTCTTTATAAAAGAGAATAGATTTATTATTATGATAAGAATAACTCAATAGTCGCGAGGTATCTGGATTATTAAAGTCTATCCAGAAGTTAGAATAAGCTCATACAAGCAATATAATAGAAAAATTTTACAAGGTTGTTTGAATAAAATTGAAGAATGTGCTCTTTTTCTAAGTCTTTAAAAGACATGCTAAATCAAACCATTTCAGTAGTCTACAGCGTTGTGCTTGACCTGTTGATTTAACAAATAAATTATAGAAACAGTTTATATCACCATTAATTTCCCTTAGACTGGATAAACTTTAAACATTCTTAGTATATATTGAGAATGTGCGTACAGGTCTGATTATATTCAAAAAGCAACTATCAGTACAATTTTGTGTACTAGGATTTGAACTATCTTGGTTGCACGAGTGCTAATCACACTACTCAGTTACCCATAGCCAAGTATTTAGACCAAAATTTTAATTTATGACGTACTCTTTAAAAGTGAAAGCTTAAATCTGTTAAGTCGTAGATGTACATAAGGAACAACTGGAATTCTACCTTATTTAACTTGAAAACATGAATACAATAACAATTTCATCTCACTGTTCTTGCTAATGAGGTATGTAAACTTGGATCGATGTACATACATACCAGGTTCTAAGTTGTGTTTGACCGACCGACTGGTCGAGTAAAACTGTGGAGGAATTGTTTGTAGATGAGAATAACCTTCTACAAAATGCTACATCAAAATTAAATTGTATTGAAATAAAAATTCAAAACGAAACTGTTCAAAGTCAAAAACACGATTGACCACTAAATCACTCAAAGTTGTATTAAAATATGTTAACAAAGATCATTAAGTTTATTACGACTCGTGTTTCTTATGAATGGATCTCATAAAAAGTCCAATTATTTATACATTTTATGATATTGATTCACAATATCACTTGACTTTTTTATTCGTTATAAATTTTTTTTCTAGCTATTTTCTATTTGTTGATTTATTCTTTAACTATTTCTACAGTTCTCAGTCATGGGATTTCAATGCCAGTCTCTGGAACATGGCATCCAACTGACTTCAGGGTAAGTAATGAAGAAACTGGTTTTATCGCAACCGTAATATATTATTTTTTAATTGGGAGTTATGCAGAGAAAAATGTAGAAACACTGCTAATATTAACAAGTGCTCATTACTTTCGTATATAATTCTGAAGTCGTAAACATTTGTCAGTTATTCTAAGATTTAATTACTCTTATCAGCTATTTTCTGAATAAAATCCAATGATTCTTCCAGATGTTTGTATGATTGCCTTTTTCACATACGACCTATCATTGTTTGATTTATGACTATTATTAGTTCAAACCATCCGGGGTAATATGGCTTTCTTGTTTAGGATCTAAGACTTCTTCAGATTATCACCATAGTCATAAGTGAAATTTCTAATGTTTCAATAGAACATTTGGGTGCTTTGCACCAGTTTAATTTCATTGACTTTAAATTGTTTACTGAGTGTTGTCCATGAGATCTGTTTTTGTAATTATTACTTTTATTCCATGTAATTACTTATGAGTATCTTATTTTAGCAACCCGATTACTTACTTCTTCAACCTACACCTAAAAGACGACGAACTTCCTCTGGATCAACAGGACTTTCTCGCCGATATTGTACATCCTCCAGGAATGGTCATTTTTCTGGCGATTTACCGGTGCATTCATCTAGAAATCTTTCCTATATGTCTGAAATGTCTAACCATCGTTTTATCAGATCGTTGGATCCACGTAATTCTGAAAACGTTTTCCAAAATAATATTTTTATGAATGCCCGTCCAATACATCAGCATTGGCCCCAGGTACTACCAACATCTCAGCATCCTAATCGTTGGCAGAATGAACTTCGACAGGTTACCAGTTTAGTATCTGTTGCTGCTGTTGCAGCCGCCGCCGCAGCTGCTGCTACACAAAATAGTACACACTACCAACAGTCTTTCATATCACCGACTACGACTGTCAGTTCCTCAGAGGTACCTTGTCCTAGCAGTCAGCATTATGTTGGTATCACACCACGAGCAGCTAAAGGTTTTACTTCGTCTAGATCTAGTTTTGTTAAACGTCCAAGCTATCAATTTTCATTTCCTAATGGAGTTGGAAGTAATAAAAGAAGATCGGACTTTCCAGAAGCTAATGAAACCCACAGTCAAATTATTATCAACAATGGACATTCATATCATGAATTCGGTATGTGATATAGTTTTCTTTTTTCCTTCTTTCATTTCATCCATCACTTTGCATAATCAACCGGCTTAACATAATTCATATTATGCATAATGTAAATATACAGTATGCAATTTAAAAGATTGTTTATAATGTACAGGTTAGGATTTCCTAATTCCGGAAAATTCAAATAGCAGAAATAGTGAAAATATGTAAGGTATATTCATTTAATAAGGTCTAATAAAAGTTCTCATGTTTATACTTAAATTAAACAAGTAATGCTATGTTTACCTGAGAAGAAGCTATCCTGCTTATCTCCTAGAACGCTTTACTACAGTCAGTGCATATTTATATTGAATGTTTTTTTTTAGCTAGAAAGGAAGTTGGCTTAAAGCAGATATATTAATTATACAGTGTTATGATTTATAAGTGTTCTTGAAAGGTAATCTACTTTTTTCTGGTTCTACAAAAATGACCTAATCATATGTTATGTAGGTTCGGTGAATGTTTGATTTCGTGTTCTTGTTGATCACTTTCATGTTTGACAATAAACTCGAATATTTGTAGTTTTTTTTACGATAAATATTTTGAATGGATATGATCTATTTACAAGGAACAAGTTTATTTACTCTGCTTCAAACCACTTTTGTCATATATGGATAGTGATACTACTCGGCTGTTCAGACTTAAGTAAATGAGGTATGGTTCGAACGTGATACATTGTTTCTAAGTCGATAGAAGTAAACATTGTCTTGGAAGTTCATTCATTAGTTTGGTCTCATTTTCATTTAGCCAGATACGATTATCTAACCAATTCTGTTTTCAATGTTTTTGTTTAATTAGAACTCTGTAGAAGGGGTTTTGTGGAGAGTTCAGTATTTTTCATTGTTGAAATCATGAGTCAATTGAAACTAGACCACCATGGAAAATCTGGAAGCACTGGACGGCCGTTTCGTCCTATTATGGGTCTCCTCAGTAGTGCGTATCCACGATCCCGCACTCGCGAGATTCGAACCCAGGACCCACCAGTCTCAAGAGATAACAACTCACTGAAGACAATTGGTGAATGGTTACTCAAACCTGGTGGATTAGTTGAAGTTAGACATTAACATCGTTGGATGCCGGCTCAGTGGTCTATCGGTCAAGTGCTCTGGCGTGAGACTGATAGGTCCTGGGTTCGAATCTCGCGAGTGTTTGTTTTTTTAAAATTCATCAATACTAAATTTGCTCACTAATTTATATACATATAATCCTCGAAAATTTCAGCTGTCACTGATAAAGACCTACCTTTACCGTCACCATCCTCTTTCTCATCGTCATTAACATCTGCATTACTTTGTAATCCTCAATTGAATTCTTGCCCACCAGATATCATTGGTTCAGTCTCTTCATGTACTCGTCATAATTTACAATCTGAAAATAAATACGCTACTATTAGATCTGATTCAGAAAATACTATCAACTGTAGTCCTGTTGAAGAATCTTCCGATTCCATTGTAACAAGTGCTACAGTTAGTAATGCTGGTAAGTCTCTTTTTGTTTTAATTTCTAAATATTGTTTAAATTCAATTGAATTGTGCAAAGTTACTGCTAGAATTGAGAGAAAAAAATAATAGCATAAATTTAAAAAAAGTATTTTACTTAAAGTATACAAAGATTATTGTTTTTGCACTTTTTGTGCAGACAATTTTCCTCAAAAAGGCTATGGTATAATCCTTTTTATGAGCGAATTGTCTTACCAAGCCAGTCCTAATATAAGTAACAACTGCTGTCCATGCCGCTCTGGTCATTAGTTTTGATGAAATTTCATCAAGGTCTGTCTCTGCTTAAATAGTTCAATAGTAATATCACTGATTGATGAAAGTTGTCATGGGAAGCTTCAGTCCTTTCAATATCGTAGATTTGGTTTGCTGAAAAGTAAACTGACAGTAAAGGATCTAACACAAATATGTATCGCCTCGAATGACTGTACTTTATTTCAGCACAGAACGAAATCGAAATTTAAACGAGTGGAGTTGAAGGAAGGTAAACGAAATAAATGAAGTCAGTGGATAATAGATGTTCTAATGACAACTTAGACCGATCCACTTTTGCACTGGATCTTTCACATTGACTATATCAGGCAAAGGCTCATGGGAATAGGTACTCAAAATAAATCAGGTAAAAATTTCTTTTTCATACATCCTGATCCCTTGATAAATTTAAATAAAAAGTGGCGAGGACAAGATTTTCAGACTAAAGTGAATCCAATATATTTCGAAGCTTCTCATATGCTGCTAACGGCTTAAGGTTACAATTAATAATGTCATTATTATTATTATTGTCCGTGTTGTTATTATAGTATTACATTATTGTAAACTTGTTTTCTAATCTTCTCATTAATTGTATTTAGATCGTTTGTTGCAATTTGATTTTTTTTTTTAAAATTCTGTATTACAGCAGACCTAATTCATCGAACTGTGGTTGAACAGCTAGATCTACTGACAACTGTTCAGAATTCACCTCATAATATTGATCATAATAATGATTTGTTATCATTTACATATGTTACAAACTGTAATACCGCTCCAATTGTTGAATCAAATAATAATGATAATGAGTCGATGAATAAATCGATTGATGACTCTCATCATCGTCACCAACAAAAACCAGTCATCCACACAATAGGATCTAATAATATTAAACTACCACAAACTGATCCTCATCATCAGTCCAGTTCAGTTATACCAAATAAAAATGTATGTTATTTCCCGTTCTATCAAAAGTACATCTAATAATTGTTTATATAAATTTTCCACTCTTGCCGACACGTTTCAGATGTTTATTAGACAAAATTTGCGACGTTTTTTTGCAAATTACCAGATAAAGTTTAGTATACTTAGCTTCGAGCTACACTCTAAGGGCTAGTGATTCTATCCGGTTGCAGTTGTTTAAAGCATATTTTATAAATATTTTTGAATAGTTAATATTTGCCGTCTATCTTCAATCATGGAAGTTTTCTATCAGTTCATTAGCTACAACTATTTTTCCGTCCATCATGCTAAGATCCATGTATCTGAATATACATTAATCTTTCGTCTTTTTTCAGGAGGATAGACCGAAAAGAAAGTCTCCTTATAATCGAAGTTATTCTATTTGAGTTTTATAGTACTTAACATCAGTATAATTCCATTTAAATTATTAACCGATCCGAGTTAAACCACCATTAAAAGCCTGGAAGCACTGGAACTCCTCAGCAGCGGGCACCCACAACCCCGCACACGGGATTCGAACCTAGATCTTCGGTATCGCGAGCGAACGTTTAGCCCCTAGACCACTCATCCGCCATCTAAGGATGTTAATTCTTGACTTACAATTATCATGTTCTTACTAGTGACTAACTTTTATTGAAAATTTCCGGAGTTCTGGTGATAAACCGTTTCCAGTAGAGTTCAACTGTGTCAGATGTTACCCACCGAAGACAATGAGAGATGGTCGCGCAATGTCATGGATTGGCTGAAGCTAGATATTCACACTGTTGATCCAGGCTCAATGGTCTCAGTCAGTCAGCTACAACGTAGGACCAGGCACATTTATGCATCGGTCCAAGTTGCCATACCTCGTTAGCACAACAAGATGAACACCAGATTCATAGAAGTAATTAATGTAGTGGTGGTAGTAGTATATAAATTATAGGTTGTATATAAGGATATAGTATAGGAAGGAAGAGAGATATGAAGCAATTTTAATCTCAAGGTTTAAGGGAAGATAAAGAGTGTATACACCTACGCCATTGTGATCGATTCTGAGCCATGTCACCTAGAGTCTCCAACCATTAGTTACGATAGTCACGCGGACCCCAACCAGGTAGTCTGCATCTGTCAACATGGCTCAGACTAGAAGTTAGTGACTTCAAACACTGATGCCATGTTTTGGTTTGGCCGCCCCTAACTCTCTTCCAACAATCCCCTACACTAGTCATCATAGCGCGTCGTGGTAATCGGTGTTCAGACATACGTAACACATGGCCCAACCATCTCAGTCGATGAAGATTCATCACCTCATCAACTGGTTTACCATCGTTCCCTAATACCCTGCGTCTAACCTCACTATTACTTACCCGGTGATCCCAGCAGATGCGTGCAATATTTCTAAGGCATCTGTGGTCAAATACTAGTAACCTACGAGTATCTTCTACTCTTAATGGCCATGTTTCACATCCGTAAAGTAGAACAGAGCGAACTGATGCGCAGTATACTCGCCCTTTAATTGGTAGACGGATATCTCGTCTTCGCCATAGGTGACGTAAGTTGGCAAAAGCCAAACGAGCTTTTTGAATCCGTGCTGAGATTTCGTCAGACACCAACCCATTAGGGCTGATCAGACTTCCAAGATAAGTGAAGTTGTCGACGCGTTCGACTACTTCACTTCCTATCCTTAGTTCAGGTGTTGATGCAGGCCAGTCCTGAAGTAACAATTTACTTTTGGAGATTAAGCATTCACGTGCAAGACCAAAGGTCCTGGGTTCGAATCCCGCGCGCGGGATCGTGGATGCACGCTACCGAGGAGTCCCATAGTAGGACGTAACAACTATCTAGTGCTTCCAGATTTTCAATTGCAGTCTAACATTGATCGATCTGTTATTTCAGTGAAATACAACAATCTCCACAAACTTGCTGACTATCAGAATATTTTGTAAGCCTTTTTTGAAAAGTGTGTTAGTACATATAGTTAGTAACTAATTCTAAACAGGAAGGTTGATTCCAACATTTGTGAAGTTGTAAGTTAGATAGCTCGAAAGTTGGAGCGAGTTGCTTAATCGATTGTATAGTATATCAGACTGTACGTAAAATGTACGTTTACAGTGTTTATTTATCATCAATCATTATACTCTCTTCAATTTTATCTTTTCTTTGAACATTGTCGGTAAATGGAGTGTTAAACAAATGGTTTTTAAACAAGCAGTTCATTTAATCTTAGAAATGAACATTTATGCACTAGGATACTTATTGTTTACATCATATCCCAAGGTCATAAATAAATGGTCTTATGTACAACTCATGTATAGCGGATAAACATACCACGTATAAATGATCATACCTTCTTCCAATTGGTATATGAGTTCCATCAGCCTACTTAACTTTCAACGGAGGTATTTTGTTCAAAGCATGCAATTTTCAACCATTGAATTGCATATTCGAATCCCTGTTACACCTATTTCTGTTTCAATAAATAGTTTCTTTGGCTCTTAGATAAAAGTCTAATTAATGACCAACTATACAAACACAAACTTTGTTGCTCATTTTGGTTAATTTAAACATATAAATAGTGTTTGTGATGCTATTTTTTATGTACTTTTAACTATTATATCTCACTCTTTATTTTCATTTTTAAGCCGATCACCTCTTGTTTTAATGACTTGAACTCAAATGAACCGATCACTTCATCAATACCCCACTGTAATATCGACGAAAATATACAGTTCACATCATCTTGTTTTCCCCATTCTGAATTAAATGAGTCAAGTACAAACTTCGTAATATCATCTACTTCTCAAACAGAAGTTGGTGGTGGTGGTTGTGGTGAAGAAGCGACCGTCGTGGCAGCAGCGGCGGTCGTCGCCTCTGCTGCAGCTCATGCAGTCGCTGCTGCTGCTCAAGCTGTTTCCGCTGCTGTTCATCATCGACGAGCATCATCATCATCGTCATTAGATCAAGCCATTTCATCCCAATTGAATGAATCTATTCTTATGCATACACTACCTAATCAATCGACTATTCATCATCCACTTATTCATTGTTCATCATCATCGGTTGGATGTTACGATAACTATCCTTCGACAAATCAATTGATTTCTTCTGATTTATATCATCATCACACTGGTCATAGTAGTATGTTACATGAGCATGAACTTAATTATAGACAATCTCAGTTATTAGCTAATTTGTCATCGGGAAATATGTTAAATTCTTTTAGTGTTCAGCCATCCACAACTTGTAATTTCTCTTCGTCTCAGTCTATTTTTCATCCTTCAAATTTATACTCATCTATGTCTATTGATAACAGAAATAATAGTTTCACCTGCGATTCAAGAATCAATTTACACATTCCGAATATTTGCACAGGTAATTAATTAGTAACTTATAAAGCTAATGTATAGCAAGTTTTATTTATGATAGTTTGTAAAATCTCTGTGTACCATCATTTTATTTAATTTAAAACACGTAAATACTGATAAAATTGGGTATCAAAATAAATATGCGCTACATAAATAAGAAAACGAAATTGTGGTGACAGAAATGAAGGAGAAAGAGAATGTAATGGGGGGGGACAAATTAGTTTTGAGAAAATACAACCAAGAGGAATTCTTTTAGTCAAGTGATTTCCTTAGATTTTTTGTGAAAAACGTGATAGAAAACTACTATAGGATCGCCATCAGACTCTGTTTTGAGCCCGAGTGATTATCTTAACCAATGTTTATAGACGTTGAGTGACATGGTTCAAAATCATTGCAATAGCGCAGGTTCACTCATTCTTTGTTTTCCAACAAATTATGAGCTTTTAAATTCCCCATAACTTCTTTGTATTTTCATTCTACTAAATTATATTTTATCGAATCGTATCTTCGATGCCTAATCTTTCCTGTTACCACCCATACTGTTACTATCTCTACTATTCTGGGATTCAACATGACGATTTCATCTTTCAGTGTTTTTAGAGTATGACAACTTGAACCAATGTATATACGTACAGGTTCTGTGTTGCGACTGACTGACTGATCTTGAGCCATGTTTGGTAGTGGCTTATGACAGTGGGTGGGATCATCTATAAGACCTCAACCGGGGGAGTTGTGATGGACCAACAGATGTGAGACTTGTATGGATTTCTTTCATGCCACGGCACTATGTCACTAACTGAATACGTCCGTTTTTTTCTCGTGGTCCTAGCGTCAGCGATGATGTGAAAGCCGCTGACATGATATTCTTAACGCATCTCCAAGCCATTGAACCCAGCGTTTCAAGATAATGACACCAATCGGATTGTTGTTCTGTACATGGACACACACTATCGAACCTCAGTATTACTACAATCGTGTTGCCACTCAATATCAGCAATCTTTTGGAGACATAAATGATCGGGCACAGAGTTGTCTCACATCTCCAACTCAGAAATGCCGGGTTCCCCAAGCATAGAGAAAAGCTGTTCTCTCTTATGAAGAGAGGTAACTGCACTCCCTCACTCTTCTGAGCTGTTTTTGTATAGGGCCTTCAAGACGTCGATAAATTTCTAAGACATGCTTTAACAGACAATCCCAGAGCACAGTCCTGTGCAACAAATTGGAGGAGGCTATAATATCAAGAAACAACAACTGGTGTTCTGCGATAAATGTGGCGGTGTTCAAAAATTGGGCGTAGAGTAAAGATATGATCAATGCATCCATGACTATAACGAAAACCCGCATTCTTCTTACAAGTCGGTCTTTCTCTCGTGCTTTGGACAATCTGCACATTCTGACGGAAGTCAATAGTCCGGACGCAATCTGAAGTAGATTTATCCAGAGATAGCTGTTGTATAAATGCTGTAACCCTTTTATGAAGATATGGATGACAATTGCTTGGTTTCAAGACATTGGAGTGCTCTGTGAGAGGTGGAGAGGTGGTCAGTGTATGACGTGGTGTCGTAGTGTGAAAGAATGCTGTACACAGCTGGTCTCTGTTGGTCCTTCACAACTACGTGGTTGGATTCCTTAAGGTGGTGCAGCACAGTGGCTAGAGAAATTATCAGATATGACTTAGAATTGAAGCCAGCGGCTATCCTGCTGTAAATTTCTTTTACCTTCTTCACAGAAGTGTACGTAACTTCTTCAAGTGAAAGAACTCTTCCTGGTTGTATCTTTCCTAACTAGACTGCTTCTCCCACTATAATTATAATATCTATTATTACTATTATTATGGTTATTATTATTATTAAGCTCTCATACACCAATTCTTGTTCATTGTCTCCTCTTTTTATGACATACCGTCCATTATCTATCCCTTCACAACCTGATTGTTTTTATGTGGAGCATATATATTTAGTGCCCCTTGTACCAATGTTTGTGTCCAAATAATAATAATGATAATAATATACTGGGGTTTTAATGTGTTTACGGTCAAATTATTCATAAGAACTCTTTCTGTAAACATCTCTTGTCACTATGTACAACGTATATATAAGATTTTAATAATGTGTATTTTTCTGTTTCACCGGTTTAGGCCAAATTCCATCGTCTTCTATGTTACATCCAATTATACCAGCTTTCTCCACTTCCAATGGTTTAACTCTCATTCGAAGTACTAATGAATTTGGTGACGCTTCTTATCCACTAGCGACAGTCCGATGTATTACAAGTGAACCGCCCGAAAACAGTTTTGAGTTCACAATGCGTACTTCAGGATTTACTGGACCCCATACAGCACGATCACATTTCATCACTACACCATTGACCTTCTCAAATAGTGTGGAATCGACTTTACTGAATAATAATTTTTCAACTCCTATCAATCCATCTCATTATCATCAGACATCTATTCATCCGAATCTAACTACAGTGGCTACAGAAGTTGCCGCTGCTGTTGCTTTAGCTGCAAATCATTCATCCTCATCTGTCATAAATCGATGTACTGATCCTAGCCAAATAAGTTTTCTGCCAAACAATATTGTAGGCTTATCACGTGGCTCTTCTAACCCATCTTTTTCTCCATATTTCCCTCCATCGTTTCCTTCCGCTACACCAATCCCTCTATTGCCGTTGAGATCACCACAGTTATCGATTATCGGTTCATCTACACTGGCTACAACTCGTGGAGTAAATACTTTACTACAATTTCTTCGATTAATTCATCAAAGACCCGTAAGTTTACATACATTTTACTAATTTTATATATTTTCACTGTATAAAGGTTTGTACTTTAGTTTGATGCGAACCAAAAAGTAGGAGGAAAGATATTGAATAATAATGACTAAGTTCTGTTAACAACGTAGGAAATATAAGTACACAGATAAAATTTGGACATTAATTGCTAGATTTTAGGTATGACGCGCTTGATTGATTACAAAATCCATTATTATAAAGTTTAATTAGTTATTCTAATATGTAGCATATAGTCCACAGTAAAATACCATAAATAATCCAGAAAAGAAGTGATCTTTGCATGTATGTTAATGATCTGTCAATATGGTAGTTGGTTGAATGAGAATAAAGAATGGTATGAGCAGTGGTGTGACCAACAATCAGCCTATCATGCAGGCAGAAAGTTCAAGGTCAAACTTGAACAACAACTTTATATCCAATACCGATGATTGTACAAAGTAGAGTGGAATTATTAAAAAAAGGAATAATGGCAAAAAATTGTTTACAAAATAAGTCCATATTAACCAACTCCATACAAGTGCGTTAACTTTATACATACTTTAGCAGTATTAATAGTTACAAAGCTGAATGGTTGGGTTGTAAAATTTTAACTGATAATACCTGTTGTCTCATTCAACATAAAATTCAACATACTGCATGGAATAATACTTCAAACGACCTAATTATAATATGTCATTTCTCACTGGTTATAAATTCACTAATCGAAGTTGGTTGGGAATATTTTTTAACAAGTATCCAGGTACTTAATACTTTCTAGTTAATTGTGACATCAGTATTTCATCTTGGAGATTGTTTTATTAAATCTAACCCATAATCTCATGGTTCAACTACTATATAGTTTCAGTATGAACACTAGTCTAAGTGACTGAACAACGCACGTACTACGTTTTAGTGTTGTACAACTGAAGGAGATCAACAGAAAATCAAGTCAGAAAAAAGTTGTTGGTACTAATTAATCATGGATTTTAGCGTTAAACATCAGTAAAACTTACCAGTTTCTATAACTTTCTCAACATTTCAATGGAATATCCTATAAACTTAAAGTCTATTATCCTTATAAAGTACAGATGATAAAGAAATTTTTCTAAGACTATATGAATCTCATAGTTTCATGATATTTTTTACCTTCAAAAGTATTTTTGAACTTGATATTATATAATTTGTAATTCAGCAAAACTCCTGATCATCTTATTTTCTCAGCAGTAGTCATAACACCGGTCTTCATCTCCTATTCGGTTTCTGGTTATCATTAAAATCATTTTTGATTTTTTTTTCCAAGAAAAATCGTGTACTGGATGTTATTACAACTCCTGCATATCTGTGACTACACTATGGGGTGTTAATTTCTGGAGAGCCCTATACTAGGTGGTAATAGTTTTCTAACTAGGGTTAATTGATGATGTGAAACTATGGTAGTTTACCAACCGATCAATGCTAATCGGTAGCAAAATATATCTGTTAGCTGTCAGAAATTTCTCGAAAAACGTCTTCATTAGTCAAGAGAAGACCTAAGAGATTTTATCTGAAAAACATCCAGAAGAAACCTCTTAGTAACTTGTAGAGAAATGACGGGTCAAATGTCATACTCTAACTACATGAATATCTATTTTGTTGTGGATGCAATGTGCTTCTAGAGCCTTCAATTTATCATGGTTACCTATAAATCTATAAATACCCTTCTCTTTTGCACTTCAACCTTGGAAACAAAGCTTGTTTTCAAAGACTTCGCCTCTCACTTCAGACCCCAATTTAAAAGAATCTTGTTGTACTAGTTAAGCAGTTACGAAGTTACTATTAGGCGTCCAAGCACCATGTACATCATGGCTTAAAATAAGTCCCACAGATACATTTACGTTTTAGCTTCTACTAAAAAAATTTGAGTTTTCATATTTAGTGAACTGAGCCAGTGTAGTCACATTAAATATCTAGTCGTACGTGTTAGCTAAAGGCCTAAAAATCAGTGAATGTTGTTGATAAATGAACGCTACTAATCGAAATTTGGTCCAACTATATATAAAATAACCATTTGGTGTATGGGTAATTAATTTACATTAGATGCTCTTAATAATCATTTTGTTTGTTTCTGAACCATGTTATTATCCCTTTTCCAGGACTCCTATGCATTACCCTATTATCCTTCTGCTATGACTGCTACAGCTGGTGGCTCTAATCAAAGTGTTGTTGTCAGTGCTTCAGCTGGGATAGCTAATGGAACTCGAGTTGCATCAGCTGTTACACCACCTCTATTATCACACCATCCTATTGTTCCTCTTCAAGCATCATTTTTATCTAATTATACAGAAAGAGAACATATTACTACGCAAGATAATAATCTATTCATAAATAATCAACAAACATCGATCTCACCATCAATTGGTATTCAACCAATCACTTCAGCGACTGCAGCATTAGCCGTTGCTATGGCCGCTGCTGTTGCTTTACAACAACAAAATCATAGACATTCATCATCAAATGCTATTTCTATGCTTACATCATCTAGAGTTGCACCGACTACACCTTCAATACCAGTTCCAATATTGCATGCTCATTTATATTATCCTAGAAATGTAACAACTGTACAACAATTACATAATGCACATCAACAATGCTATCATAATCATTATGGTAGTAGTGCTGGTGGTGGTGGAGTACAGTATCACAACAGTCATTCTCAAAGACCTGCTTCTACGCCTAATACATCAACTAGTAGTTGTTTATCAGTTAATCCGGTGAATTCGTTATTTTCAGCATCTAGTATAGGTGTCAGTGGTGGTAGTGGCGGTGGTACAACATCGCCAGCATGTCTGTCCAATTTATTCCCATTTTTATTAGCTGTTCCTCCACCACCTACAGCACTACGACCGTTACCACTGCCTGTTTCAAACAATCCGTCCATTACAAATTTCCCTGTCAGTGACTTATCGGAAACATTATTTGCTCATTATACTGCTGCTGCTGCTGCCGCCGCCGCTGCCGCCACTGATCATTCTACTGTATTTTCACATAGAAATTCAATTTTACCTCAGACCGTGCCGGATCCAACTTCAGCAGCTACGGCGGCCGCTGCAGCAGCGGCTGTCGCAGCAGCTGCTGCGGCGGCTAGTGTTGATCAACTGTTACATTTGGCAGTTCAATTAGAATCGAACAATGGTCGTGGTCTTAGTAAAGAGGAGTTGGAAAGTTTACCTATTCGTTTGTATACATCAAAACATTCTGACAGTTTGTCTAGTGGTAAACCGAACACTAATATTTGTAATGAAGTAAAAACCAACGCACAGAATGATGTATCTGAATGTGATAGATGTATGATTTGTTTAGATGACTATGCAGATAGTCAACAAATTCGTCAAATGCGTTGTTTGCATGAATTTCATGCAAATTGTGTCGACAAATGGTTAAAGGTTAGTGTCGAACATTTTGTTCTTTTACACGGTTATTTTATCATCTTTAAAAATTTTTTATTCAGTTTATTATAACTATTAATTATTATTGTAACTTCCGAAAGTTACAGTAACCCATTGTGTCACTTATATGAAAAAAGCACAAATAAACGTTATCAAATCCTCCAGGGAACATCAGTTTCCTCAAGAGTACAGATGTATGTACACCCTGTTGATAAGTAGTAAAAAACTTAAGTCCATAGTAACCTGTTTATGACTTCCAATCAGTTTTCACAAAAATAAAGACTATTTAATACGGAACAGTTCTAAAAACATCAATGGGAATATTCAAACATATAATGCTAAGTGAATTTACTAATAACCAAGATTATAATACTAGATTACGTAATATGAGTAATAACAATAAATTTAGTGAATATAATAAGATAATTAAAATGAATAAGATGTTTTGTTACACTAATTAAAGGTCATAGAAGTGTATAAATAAATAAGGTGATATGATGAGTATTCATGAATAAAATAATGAGAATATAAAACATAATTAAATAAAGGGGAAATGGAAAAATAGTAATAATAAAATAATAATAATCGAATAATAATAATAATAATATTAAGGCCATGGTAACGATAATGATAAGACGTACTTCTTTTTTACGCTTAGTTCAGGTTTGAGCTCATGGATGATAAGAGCTTCGGCTATTTTTAAGAGTTTGATACGAAGAAATCTAGGTAGATTTGAATGATTCATAGTTGAAAGCATGAGTCAATTGAAGCTAGACCACCAAGAAAAACCTGGAAGCACTGGACGGCCGTTTCGTCCTATTATGGAACTCCTCAGCAGTGCGCATCCACGATCCCGCCTCACGAGATTCGAATCCAGGACCAACCAGTCTCGCACCCGGGCACTTAACCGATAGGCCACTGAGCCAGCATCCAACGATGTTAATGTCTAACTTCAACTGATCCACGAAGTTGAGCAACCATTCACCAATTGTTTTCAGTGAGTTCCTATTTCACGACAGATGTGGTTTGCACTCCACTGGTCACTTCTCACTAGAGCTCCTAGATGTACTTCCCGAAGTCACTAGTGAGCATATGATTATATTAATTATCAGAAGGGGTTAGACATTAACACCATTGGATGCCAGCTCAGTGGTTAATGGCTCTGGCTCCAGACTGGTAGGTCCTGGGTTCGAATCTCGCGAGTGCGGGTTCGTGGATGCGCACTGCTGAGGAGTCCCATAATAGGACGAAACGGCCTTGCAGTGTTTCCAGGTTTTCGATTGTGGTCTAGCTTCAATTGACTTATGCTTTCAACTATGAAACATACTAAATCTCCACAAAACCCCTTCTGATAATTAGATTTGAATGAATCATATAAACAACCTTTAAATCAGGCTGTGGATCCGTAGAATGATTACAGTCGATTAGGTGTTCAATTATAGAACTCCTAGTTGCTTTCTTTTCGCCCATGTAGAACCAAACTGGGATATGCTCTCATATTCGAGTTGAAAGCGAGCGCTTGCTACGGCCGATGTACTCATATTACGTAACCTAGTATTATAATCTTGGTTATTAGTGTTTACATTTCCTCACGGAATTAGTACTTTGACAAAACATTTTCATATATATACGATTGTACAGTTTGATAATAAATTCGTTAAAAAGAGATCCCTTCACTGAACTTCGTGTTTTAATTTCACTGTTTAGTTTGTTATATAACAATATAATTTGTATGAAATATTTGTCGAGATTAAAATCATTGCAAGCCAAGCGAATATGAAACCGATAGGTGATTGGATCGGAAACTTCTAAGTTCTCGTAACATGTATCATTCTAAGCGGTTTGAATGTAAATATTATTCTTTTGCTTAGTATTTTGTATAAAATAACTATCCATTAGAATTTCGGAGAACTTTGTAGGACTTCAACCAAATTCCTACCGATAAATTCTAAAAATTATGAACTATATAAAAAAAGATCAACCATCTTTTCGTTTGGCCTGTCAAATATAAACTAGATTCATTTAATAGACCTAGATGCGGTGTTCATCTTGTTGTGCTAATGAGGTATGGCAACTTGAACCGATGCATATATGTGCCTGGTCCTACGTTGTAGCTGACTGACTGACTTAGATCCGGTATTTGTTTCAGATATATCTCGGGTTTTTAAATATTTTTATGCAGTTATGAAAATTAAGTCTCAAATTATATGTGTCTGAATATATTACTTATTATCTGTTATTCAGAGAATATTTTTATAACGAATACAATTTATGTTGTTAAAATCAATTAACAGAATAATACTGACCGATAGATGACGCGCGGTAGTACTACGATTTTCTGACTCATTGGTGCTTATGCGACCGAACGCCATTACCGATAGTTTTTTGCTAGATACCATATTCTTTTACGAGAGTTTGGAAGAATTAGATAATTTTCTTGTGCCATAAAATAAGTGTTAGAGTCAGGATGCTAGCGTTCGGAGTGCAAGCTTTAGTGGGTACTAAAATTTCCAGCCTAATATTTATTAATTAACCCTCATAAGCTTATCAATCGTGTTGGAACTCCAGATCCTTCGTAAATGTCTCGGCTCTTTTGTAATATAGAATTGTTTTCACTGATCTGCTTCCTGATTAGTTAGTCTTAAAGTTACTCTTAAAATAGCTTAGGGCCGTTAGTATAGTATAATTTTATTGAAATTGGTTATTTTACCATAATAGAATAGTAACCACGAAAATAGAAGTCACATGAAACATATTTATTTATTTAAACACATAAATATTGTTACAATGAGGCACCAGATACATATGCGCCGCACAAATCTCATTTGATTTATGTGAGGGCTGTGATACTGCCCAGATGCCCAAATTGAAGCAGGTGGTTTTCTTAGGGGGCCACACCCGGAGCCTTTGACCTAAAGGTCTGACCCACAAGGCAGTGAATAGAATAGTAACTACGAAAATAGAAGTCACATGAAACATATAGGTCATTGGAAGAAGATTCTGTAGATCATTCATTAAAACATGACTGTTAGGCTTCATCCTTGCTCTTCAGGTTATCATCATCATTATTCCTTTCATCGCTAGCTAGTTAAAACTTAGGCGACGCTAACGGAAATGAAATTTTAAGTTGACGCCATGATCATATCATCAATTTTGTCAACCAATTGAATTTTCATAGTCCAAACTACATATATGTATAATTTTCATATTTCGTTGTAGACAAAGCGTACATGTCCTTTATGTCGTGCTGATGCATTCACTGGAAGTCAACATAAAGATGACTACTTTTAACAAAACAATAGACAAATAAAAACAAAACATATATTGTTATTATCATTACTATTTATTTACTTTTCAATTCCTTATATTGAACTTCATTTGATAAAGCACACATTCTGTATTACTATGAAAGGCAGAAAAAAACAATATTTATTTATTAAATCAAAGTAGTTTGTTTACAATTCACTTTTGTCTTTTCTTACTTTTTAAAAAAAAAAATTATTTCAATCATGTTTTTGGCCCGGTCTTGCTTGTTCTACTATTGCGTTTTGTTTTCTACTCAATTCTTGTTTTCTGTTCATTCGGTTGATTATTTTATGAAGAGAGAGAGAGAGAGAGAGAGGAAATTAACAACTTTACTCGGTTACTATTATTATTACTTACCTACTTATTTACTGTTTCGCTCTCTGTGTTATCTCTCCTATCCATCATATGTTTGTGTGTGTGTGTGAGTAGAAGAGCTATCTCGGATGTAGGTGTATACGTTTGATGTTGTTGTTGTTGTGTACAATCACTATAACTCGTCAATTTATTTGGTTTATTTCACGCATTTAACTTTCTTTTATATAATTAATGTTTTTTTTACAATAAACAAACTTGGAGAGGAATAATTGTTTATTATTTTTGTTTGTCAATTCTTCCCCTTCGGAGGTCTGTTGTTGCTTTTTTTTATATAAAACGTAATGATAACTTTTGGAAAAAGACGATTTTCTTTTTTTTACACCAACTCTTGTGTATTTGGATAATCGTGCATGCTTATTGTTCTGAATTTTCCCCCTCCCTCCCTCCCTCCCTCACACACTCTCTCTCTCCGTCTTTGTTTCTACCTACCAACACACACTTTTTTGCTATTGGCTGAAAACCACAACAATGTTTTTTGTTATTCATATTTGAAATACCAACTTGTTTTTTTTTCTGTGCAATAAGTAAATTGGTTATATTTCAAAAATCACCCCCCATTCTTACGTAATATTTTGGTTTCTCAATCGTATTTTACTGTTGTTGTATTGAGATTATTTGATTTTACACTTAATTTTGATAGCAGCTTATTAACTCCATTATATTTGTTTATATCATATGCATTTATGTATTCTCGCATTGATAATGATCTATCTATCTATCTATCTGCTCACATTCACACACAGCTACTATACTCATTTGTTTGATTATTTGTTCAGTAAATATATATATGTATACTCTTCCATTTTTTGTCTAAAGCTTTTCACTATGTTTGACCTCTCATTATATAGATTAAGATTTCCTGTTAGCTTACGGTGAATTTTATTTATGAATGATTGAGACTTGTAATACGACTCAACGAACAGTAACTCTAATGGACTGCAACAACACTTCAACATTAATAATCCACGCTCTCGTAGAGAAGACGAGATCTCTAGGATAATTTCATATCCCGTACAAAAGTCAAATATGTTTGGGAAAAGATTTTTTAGTAATGTTCAATGACGTTGGGTCATAGCAAAGTTACCAAACTAAAAGCAATGACAACCAGTTAATGAACAGGGAATGTTATTGCGGAAAAATGAACTAGGAGAATATCATCGAGGTTATCCTTTAAAGAAAAAAACTAACGTAACAACTAAATAACCTGATTTTTTGGTATATATATATATATATATATATATATGTTCGAATCTCCATTCACGTAAACTTAGACCTTTTTACTTCTGAATTTGTTATTATCATTGTAAATAATATTTAGAGTTGATGTATATAAGCCTCCTTCAATAAGCTCAGACAGGATGTTATTTATCAGTTCTAGTTTAGATTACAAGTGTTTCTTCTCTTACCTGTGAGTTGTATTTGAAACTGTTTTCATGAAGCTGTATTATGTCACTATGATAGAGTGATTCACTTCGTTGTAAATTCTATAATTTTTAAGTTATTAGGAGGTTAATGGATTGCTTTCATTTTGTAGACAATATCCCAAAGAAACTGTGTTTCCTACTAACTAGATTTAAAAGGAATTATTATGAATTAACGTAATTGTAATCTGTTCAATCTACGTTAGTCTAGCTGATATACATTACCTATTAATCAAATATATTAGTATAGGGCTGTGGAGGTTGTTCAGTTTAAATTGATAACATGAATAGATCAGTGTTAGACCACCAGTGTAAACCTGGAAACACTGGACAGTCTTTTTATCCAAATATGGGACACCTCAGCAGCGCACATCCTTGATCCCGCATTCTGGACTCGAACACACGACCTTCTGGCTCGCATGCTAACGCTTAACCTCTAGCCGTCCAGTGCTTCCAAGTTTTCAATGGTGGTCTAACATTGATCTATTCATGATATCAATCTAAAATCAGGTTTATATCAGCTGTTAGTATTCAGATGAGGTTATTTAAACAATTAAATTGTTACTTACTACTCTGATTAGTTTGGTCAAAATCTGGCTACTAATCAGTGTAAACTGAATCTTCATATGTTGTTTGCCGCTTATTCCTAACAAAGAAATCTATGCGGGTTTATTGATTACATTCCAGTTTATAACTAATAATAAGACGTCTGTCAGCTGCTTTCAACAATACTACTAGTGTTGTTGATCTCAGTAGTGTGAAGTGATTTAATGTTAGTTTTATTTTGACAATTTACCTTAGTTACATGTAAGAATTTAAATTTTCCCGTTGAGAATAAGGATTGTATTTGACCGGTCTTTATTCGTCTTTATGCATCCCGAGCAGAACGCTTTAATATTGCCTTTACTCATAACTATATTTGACTTGTGGCTAGCAGGCGAATCAAAGGTGAGTGTTTCGTCAAACTGAGGACTCGTCAGCCAGACTTTAATTCAACTTCCCGGTATTAGTCCACACACTGAAACTCGGATCGAATACCTTTCGCTTCAAACGCTTACGGGTTATACACAAATCTATCGAGTTCAGATAGCCTTTGGTTTGTATAACAGACATGCAGTTATATGTAAGGGTTTGAATTCCTTCGTTGTTATTATTAAGGACCAGAATCCAAGTTTCAAATAAGGTATTTAACTATATCACACGAATTATGTGCTAAGTAACTACTAGCTATAAATTTTACAACCAAGAATCATGGTGACTGGAAAATTTTTGCCATAAGCAATCTTTCCTTATCAAAGAATAGTTGGAAATTTGAATAAACAAATAATTACTACAGTTTGTCATCATCCGATCGACATACCGATCTTGGAAATTTTTGACACTTTTGATTGGAAGCAAATAGCATACTAACAACTAGTATACCGCAAATGATTAAATATAACCTGAATAGTACTGATGTTATTCGATTTTTCTCCTAATTGAAGAGATTTTCATCTAGCGACAATGCTACATTTGTACAATACACATTTTTAAGAGCCACCCGATCACTGCTCGTTGATATGGTAGCCTGCTCATAAATTCTTCAAATATGCATTTATTCCCAACAATGTTTTCTGATTTATTTTAATTAATTATACCTGTCAACCGCATATACACAAATGCCACTACCACAGGGGTTCGTATATCTTTTTCCGCTTGTTTTGTCCTTTGGAGAAACGCAAGCAAACTACTATAGAATTCATTAATCACATATTCAGGGATATGAAGTGTAGGCTGATCGAAAAGATTCAAATCAATGTTGATCAAGTGAGAATATCGTTCGACGTTACAAGCTTGTTGGTTTCGATCGAACCAAACTTGGCATAGGATACTTTATCGCTTCTCCAAACTACTGACAAAAATCTTTCAACGTATACAAAACGTCAAAATCTTCCAGAACACATCGATATGTCTTTAAGAACATATTTTCAATTCAACAGTAAGGTTAACGGACAGGCGCAAAGAGCAAGTATCAGTACTTATTGCAGAAGCAGCAATGCACAATCTGGGAGTCCCAGTTTCATTATGTAGATGTCACATTTGTCATAATCAAAAAGGATGAGTTGGAAGATACCTAGATTTTGGTCAGAAAAGTGTTCGACTATGGGAAAGGAGTTGAACGATAATCTGTTATGTTTGAATATGTTGAGCACAAGAACCAATACAGGAAAACTGGAAACTCAATTATGTTGGAAGCCATTACAAATATATCAACTTCTCAACTACATGAGCAATAACTCACAAAATCAACTTTGAACAAGAATCATTCGAAAAAATGGAGAGACATTTACAACTGATTGATCACTGGGTAATTGTTATATGCTTAAAAGAGAGGATGCTGATTATAACGCTGGGGGTTTCTGGTTATAACAGTCCTTTCACTTTCTACCCGTATGTGGGACGTTAATTTACCTAGACGAATATCTACACTAGATTCCCACCCGGTGTCTATTCTACAGGACTTCAACAGAACTCAGATCAAGAACACGAGATTAGCCTGACTATAACGTCAATATATTTCACACCAAAATCCGACACAAAGAGCAGTCAATCAATAAGTGTTCATCAACAAGGAACAGTCAATACATAATAAGGATAGGGGAATATATATATAACACATAACACCTGTCATCCTAACTAATGTCTGACTCATCGAGACAACCAATCATTGTCATTCTCGCCCACACATCAGTAATTTATCAGGTCCTACTCAGTGCAGATCGAATTCCATCGACCAAGTTGCAATGTGGCCACTACTCTAGTTAACTCGACATCACATTCACTGTGTTGAGATGAAATGGTAGTTACAGGTAGTCATCGGGAGACCATGGACCTAGGCTTCATGCTATTCGGCACTCATAAGTAAGGTGTATCCTTAATCTTGACGGGATTGATGCTACCATCAGATATAAAATTCTTCCAGACTTCAAAGCGAATCTTCTTCAAAACAACTTAAGTAGGAAATAGCCGTTTTCGCTTACCCATTTTCTAACCCTCAGTTATAACTTAGATTGAAAGATGTTGGTCAAATTTTTCGCGCTTTATTGACAGTATTTTTAATGAATATCAATAAGAATTTTCAGAAATATTTTAAGAATTTTGATTGGTAAAGGTACCTTACGTCATATCAATAAAATTTTCTATAAGATT